ATCTAAATTCATGGTTAGATTCAGCATATCAAAGAACCCCATATATTCAATTTTTGTTGAAATCAAAAAAAGTTTAATTTTGGACCCCAACTTGGACCAACTTGAAAACTGGGCCCATAATCAAAAATCTAAACACATGTTTAGATTCAGCATATCAAAGAACCCCAAGAATTCAATTTTTGTTAAAATCAAACTAAGTTTAATTTTGGACCCTTTGGACCTCAATGAAGATCAATTTAAAAAAAACGGGACCCAAATTAAAAATCTAAAAACACGGTTAGATTTGGCATATCAAAGAACCCCAATAATTCAATTTTTGATGAAATCAAACAAAGTTTAATTTTGGACCCCAATTTGGACCAACTTGAAAACTGGGCCCATAATCAAAAATCTAAATACATGTTTAGATTCAGCATATCAAAGAACCCCATATATTCAATTTTTGTTGAAATCAAACAAAGTTTAAATACTGGACCCTATCTTGGACCAACTTGAAAACTGGGCCCATAATCAAAAATCTAAACACATGTTTAGATTCAGCATATCAAAGAACCCCAAGAATTCAATTTTTGTTAAAATCAAACTAAGTTTAATTTTGGACCCTTTGGACCTTAATGTAGACCAATTTAAAAAACAGGACCCAAAATTAAAAAACTAAATACACGGTTAGATTTGGAATATCAAAGAACCCTAATAATTCAATTTTAGATGAAAACAAACAAAGTTTAATTTTGGACCCTTTTGACCTCAATATGAACCAATTTGATAACGGGGTCCACAAATAAAAAATCTAAATACATGGTTAGATTCAGCATATCAAAGAACCCCATATATTCAATTTTTGTTGAAATCAAACAAAGTTTAATTTTGGACCCCAATTTGGACCAACTTGAAAACTGGGCCAAAAATCAAAAATCTAAATACATGTTTAGATTCAGCATATCAAAGAACCTCATATATTCAATTTTTGCTAAAATCAAACAAAGTTTAATTTTGGACCCTTTGGACCTTAATGTAGACCAATTTGAAAACTGGACCCAAAATTAAAAATCTAAATACAGTTAGATTCGGCATAACAAATACAGTTAGATTCGGCATAACAAATAATTAAATGTGATCAAAGATTTTACAAATCTAATGCGCCATACTGTGCAATTAAAGATTACATCTTGAAATTTTTCAATATTTGAAATTTGAAAAAAAAATAATATTTGAAGAATAATTCTTTTTAATTTCTGAAATCTGAAATGAGAAAAAATTGACCCCCCACAATTTCTTTTTATCCCCCCCTCCTTTTTTCCCCCAAAAAATTCTTTCCCTCAAGATATGGTCAAAATCTCAATTCAAATTTCCAATGGAGTTGGCAACCATAATTACCCATTTAAATTTACCATAGTGCTAACTTAATCTATTTTATAATAGAATTAAAAATATAGTGTCAAATCTTTCATATGGATTTTTTTGTAAAAAAAAAAGATGCAACATTTGCAGATATTTTTACTGGTCTTCCTTTATAAATATGCATTTCTTTAAACATAATTTAAAAGCAGTGTAAGGGAAGTAACCAGAACGTTGTATTTGGATTACCTCCCTTACACTGTTTTAAATTATCTTAATTGTTCATTAACCATTACTTTATACATAATTTAAAAGCAGTGTAAGGGAGATAATTTCAATGATGCATTTGATTTATCTCCCTTACACTGCTTTAAATTATGTTTTGTACTAAAGTATTTGTCCATTAACCAGGACAACCTTGTTTTTCCCCCTTTTTTGCCCCTAATTCCTAAACGGTTTGAGCCATAACCCCCCAAAGCAAATCCTAACCATCCCTTTGTGGTATGGAAACTTGTAGTATAATTTCAGAGAGATCCATACACCGTTCCACAGTTATTGTCTGGAAACTAGAAAATGCTTATTTTTGGCCCCTTTTTGGCCCCTAATTCCTTAACTGTTGGTACCATAACCCCCAAAATCAATCCCAACCTTCCTTTTGTGGTATTTAACCTTATGGTCAAATTTCAAAAAGATCCATTCACTTAAACTAAAGTTAGAGTGCGAAAACCAATGTGTATTCGGACGACGACGCCGGACGACGACGACGACGACGACGACGACGCCAACGTCATACCAATATACGACCACAAAATTTTTTTGCGGTCGTATAATAAAATTAAAAATATAGTGTCAGATCTTTCATACGGATTTTTTTGTAAAAAAAAAAGATGCAACATTTGCAGATATTTTTACTGGTCTTCCTTTATGAATATGCATTTCTTTAAACATAATTTAAAAGCAGTGTAAGGGAAGTAACCAAAATGTTGTATTTGGATTACCTCCCTTACACTGTTTTAAATTATCTTAATTGTTCATTAACCATTACTTTATACATAATTTAAAAGCAGTGTAAGGGAGGTAATTTCAATGATGTATTTGATTTATCTCCCTTACACTGCTTTAAATTATGTTTTGTACTAAAGTATTTGTCCATTAACCAGGACAACCTTGTTTTTCCCCCTTTTTTGCCCCTAATTCCTAAACGATTTGAGCCATAACCCCCCAAAGCAAATCCTAACCATCCCTTTGTGGTATGGAAACTTGTAGTATAATTTTAGAGAGATCCATACACCATTCCACAGTTATTGTCTGGAAACTAGAAAATGCTTATTTTTGGACTTTTTTGGCCCCTAATTCCTTAACTGTTGGTACCATAACCCCCAAAATCAATCCCAACCTTCCTTTTGTGGTATTTAACCTTATGGTAAAATTTCAAAGAGATCCATTCACTTAAACTAAAGTTAGAGTGCGAAAACCAATGTGTCTTCGGACAATGACGACGACGACAACGACAACGACGCCTACGTCATACCAATATACGAGACAAGACAAGACAATCCTTGACATTGTTCCTGACTTTGGACAGGCAAAAGAATATATGGCTTGGTTAAACTAGTCAATTCATATATTTTAGCTGATACCAATTTTTATGAAGGAAAAATGTAATTTCTTGGATGTTTGATTTTGAAGTTTTGACAAAGCCTGTATATATGACAATATAAATTCCTACTTTGTTGAACAATAAAATTGGCGTTTTACCTTTACACATTAAATACAGGAAAATTGGCATCCAACGAAAAAGAATGAATCCACAGTATTTTTTTTTACATCTCATTGGATTCACAAAAGTTGCATAAAAGAACTTAGCATAGAAATTGGTACAGCAAAAACACTATAACTTTATAATGTGCCATAACATGTAGATGACATAATCAAGCAGTTACTGAATGCCAGCTTTTTAAAAAGTATTTAATCTGCTGATCTTATATCCTACAGTGTAATACCGGTGACGTACAGCTGACTTTTTTACACCTTTCACATTTATTCATGTTATTTCTTGCTTATCATACTCTATAATCTGCACACCTGCCTGGCAATTTTAACATTTTTGAGTAAAAAAGCCGTTGACTATACAAGCCAAATTCAGGTAACTTGTATATTTGTTTCTCTGTCTTTGTTTCATAAAATGATGCAGATGCTATTTTACTAACTTGTAACCGATCATGTCTACAAATCAGTGTCAAGATGAGACATGGAGGTAATAAAATAGTAAAGCACAGACAGAGATACAGAAACACTCCTGGAAACTTCTATGATTAGACTTGACCAGGTGGCAGTATTAGATTTCAGAAGACTTGACGTCTTCTTCCACCAAAAAAATATTACATGTTGGTAGAGTTATGATATTACATTATTAATTTTTGTTATTTTAATTATTGGCAAGCAAGGAATCCCTTTTGTTACTAGGAGGCCAAAGTTATTGTTAATGAAATAAAAATATTGTTTAATTTACATATTTTATATTGACATGATTGATATCTGACCTCTGAGTTTGAGATTTTGCATTGGACAAGATTTTTATATGAAAAAACTAAAATTTTTAGTTTGATTATTACGGTTGTTAAGGAAATTTTTGGGATGTACGAACTCGGCAAACTTTACATACACATATATTTTTTTTTTAAATTAATTCAATAAAGAAATAATATAAATTTGTTTGATACTACAGGTTTAATTTGTTATTCAAACATTTAGTTTGTTTTTTACAAGAATGAATAGATTTTAAGAAGTCGTTTTGGTGTATAACACTGGCGTACAATTTATAACTCATACGTGGATTTACCTAGATTTTTATCAAAACAGCTCTTTAGATAAAAAAAATATCACATGTTAGGAGAGCTATGATATCATATTATTAATTTTTGTTATTTTTTAAATTATTGGCATGCAAGGAATCTATTTTGTTACTAGGAGGCAAAAGTTGTTGCTAATGAAACAAAACTATTGTTAAATTTACTTATTTATTATTGACATGATTGATATCTGACCTCTTTCGTATCAGATTTTGCACTGGACATTATTTTTATATAAAATAAAAAAACCCACAATTTTTTGTTTTTTCATTATGGTTGCTAAGGACATTTTTTGGTTGCTATGTAATGTTTTCTTGGAAAATATGGGATCAATTGACAACACTCTAATGTAACTAGATTAAATAAATCATAATTACCCCATATATATACATTTAGACTTTCATATTGAATAAATTTGTTACAATTTGTTCTTGAACTTTGTTGCTATAGGGCTTACTTTGTTGCTATGGTTACACATTGTTTGGAAAAAACCCACAGACCGTTTATGAAATAATGAAAGTATGACCACTAGTTGTTCCATTTACAGTAACAATAGGTAGTGCAGTTCTAGTAATAGAAAATATTTAAACTTGATTTCTGGCCTTATTTGCATTCTTTGTATATTATGGTCCTTGGAGACCATCCGTACCCCAATATTTCTAGAATGAAATAGTATTTCATCAAAATAGCGGTTCTTCAAGAACATTTGATAGTTGTAAAAGTTGCAGTACAATGGAAAAATACTAGATTTTATATAAACAACAGAGACTGAAGTAGTGAAAAACTGCATTTAATTACATCAGAACATACCTGTATTCAATTTCTGCTGCCTGTGCAAGTATTTCGGGTGAGAAATCTAATATTCCATAAAAATCTTCTAATGTCTTCTTTAATTCCATCTTTCTAGATTCAGGAATTTTAGCTTTTGGATTTAACAATGCTCTATAAAAAAAAAATGCTGTTCTTATGAGCCAGTAACAAAACTACACAATAAAAATCCACAAAAAACAACTAGGGTCAACTAACAGTCTTCTACAAAAAATAACCAGGGGCCAACTAACAGTCTTCTACAAAAAACAACTAGGGGTCAACTAACAGTCTTCTACAAAAAAGACGAAATGTTTCATATAACTGAATGAATAATTTGTATTATAAAATATGTGTACATAAGACTTAAAAAAAATAAAAGAAGAATGTGTCTGAGGACATGAATGCCCCTGCTCAAGCTTTGCAACAAAAATGGGACGGACGGACAGACGGAAGGACGGTCAAGGGCAACACTTAATGCCCCTGTTGCCTATGGCAGGGGGAATAAAAAATCCTTTATGCTATCCAAATCTACAGGAAATTTACTGATATTGAATTAATGTCTTCCCGTAATAGAACCTTACTTATTATGTACATATTTACCTTTCTGTGTTGATTTTTTATCAAATCCACAGTTCTTATACCTCTGCCTCAGACACCCAAAAGTTGGATAGCAGCCACTGTTTTCGATCAACACACACAGAATGAATTATTTTTTTTTTGATTTGTTATAAATGGTAAATAAAATGCTCCGCAGGGCACAGCTTGATACGACCGCAGAGGTCGAACCCTGAACAGTTGGGGCAAGTATGGACACAACATTCAAGCTTGATACAGCTTTGCATTTGGATTGTGATTAAATATTTGACACAGCATAGGTTTCTGACACATAATGAATGTGGTCTAAGAACTTAAAAATTTTAAATTGGACATTCACCTATTATGGTCCAATATCCAAAATCTAAATACATGGTTAGATTCAGCATATCAAAGAACCCCAAGAATTCAATTTTTGATGAAATCAAACAAAAAAAAAGTTTAATTTTGGACCCTTTTGACCTCAATGTGGACAAAGTTGATAACGGGGCCCAAAAATCAAAAATCTAAGTACATGGTTAGATTCAGCATATCAAAGAACCCCATATATTCAATTTTTGTTGAAATCAAACAAAGTTTAATTTTGGACCCCGATTTGGACCAACTTGAAAACTGGGCCCATAATCAAAAATCTAAATACATGTTTAGATTCAGCATATCAAAGAACCCTAAAAATTCAATTTTTGTTTAAATCAAACTAAGTTTAATTTTGGACCCTTTGGACCTTAATGTAGTCCAATTTGAAAACGGAATCAAAAATTAAGAATCTAAATACACGGTTAGATTCGGCATATCAAAGAACCCCAATAATTCAATTTTTGATGAAATCAAACAAAGTTTAATTTTGGACCCTTTGGACCTCAATGTGGACCAATTTAAAAACGGGGCCCAAAATCCAAAAACTTAATACACGGTTAGATTCAGCATATTAAAGAACCCCAAGAATTCAAGAATAAAACCCCATTGAAATTGGTCAAGAAATAAGCAATTTATACGAAGTATCTTCTTTTGCACAATACTGTGCAATTGAATATTTCTTGCTATTGCGCAATACTGTACAATTGACAATTTCTTGCTATTGCGCAAAATTGTGCTATTGGATATTTCTTGCTATTGCGCAATACTGTGCAATTGAAGATTACTTGCTATTGCGCAATATTGTGCAATTGAAGATTTCTTGCTATTGTGCAATACTGTGCAATTGAAAATTTCTTGCTATTGCACAATACTTATTATATAATAATTTACACATCCTGTTTGGTGTGTATCTCCTACCATATCATTATTATTTGCTTTTAAATATGAATCAGAAATAACCAACTTAAAATGGAAAAATTTTAAAAGAAAAAAAAAGGAAAAAAAGAAAAAAAAGGAAAAAAAAAAAATCCCCCCCCCAAATTTTTTGAACCCCCTTATGATTCATCACCCCCAAACTCAATCCCAGCCTTCCCTTTGTGGTATGGTACCTTGCAGTACAATTTCAGAGAGATCCATACACTTGAACACAAGTTATAGTCTGGAAACTAGAAACGTGTTTTTTGGCCCCTTTTTGGCCCCAAATTCCTAAACGTTTAGGGCAATTACCCCCAAACTCAAACCCAGCTTTCCCTTTGTGATATGGAACCTTGTAGTACAATTTCAGAAAGATCTATACACTGACACACAAGTTATTGTCCTGAAACTAGAAAAATGCTTGTTTTTTGCCCCTTTTTTGCCCCTAATTCCTAAAATATTGAGGCAATTACCCCCATCATCAATCCCAGACTTCCCTTTGTGGTATGGTACCTTGCAGTACAATTTCAGAGAGATCCATACACTTGAACACAAGTTATTGTCTGGAAACTAGAAAAATGCTTATTTTTGGCCCCTTTTTGGCCCCCAATTCCTAAACGTTTTGGGCAATTACCCCCAAACTCAATTCCAGCTTTCCCTTTGTGATATGGAACCTTGTAGTACAATTTCAGAAAGATCCATACACTTACACACAAGTTATTGTCATGAAACTAGAAAAATGCTTGTTTTTTGCCCCTTTTTTGGCCCCTAATTCCTAAAATTTTGAGGCAATTACCCCCAAAATCAATCCCAGCATTCCTTTTGTGATATGGAACCTTCTGGTACAATGTCAGAGAGATCCATACACTAACACACAAGTTATGTCTGGAAGTTACAAAAATGCTTATTTTTGGCCCCTTTTGGCCCCTAATTCCTTTACTGTTGATACCATAACCCCCAAAATCAATCCCAACCTTCCTTTTGTGGTATTGAACCTTGTGGTAAAATTTCATAGAGATCCATTCACTTAAACTAAAGTTAGAGTGTGAAAACCAATGGGTCTTCGGACGACACCGGACGACGATGACGACGCCGACGCCAACGTCATACCAATATCCGACCACAAAAATTTTTTTGCGGTCATATAAAAATGTGCAAAAGAGGACTTGATTTAGAATATATTCATACTTTGTTTAAAAAAAAATCTTGAACATTTTAATCACCAGAAACCTGTTTCATATGACTTTAAAGCAATAATCTTCATACATTTTTTATTTCAATGGTTGTAATAGATCATTCCTTTAAATGGTTTTTGAAATTTTGTCCTTCTTTGACTTCTTATTCTCTTAAGCAAAGACCCACAGTCCAAATGCAAAAACCAAGTGACACACATAATTTTACAGTCAATTGCAATTAGCTGGAAAATATTCAAACTATCAAAGTTTGTAGATACAAATTTTGTACAAAAGGTGTTGACAACAGGAAATAATAGACAACAAATGGTCATCCTTAGCATAAATGTTAAAACCTGTTTGACTGGCTGAAAATCTTGAATTGGAATTACTCCAGTGGACTATAAAATTATGAGTGTCACTTAGTCTATTGAACTAAAATTTCATACTTATGTGCATATCTAACTACTGAATATTTTCTGAAACTCGTATTATTATATGAAAGAGGTGACACAGGGGTCCTCATTTCCCAAATTCCCACTTTTTTGCTTCTCTGTTCCAAGATTTCACTTTTTTACCCCCCTATATTCAACATCCCCACTATTTTTACCCCCTATATTCAACATCCCCACTATTTTTACCCCTTATATTCCAAATCCCCACTTTTTTACCCCTTAAAACCCACATCTCAAAAGTGTGTCATCCCTCTCTTATGTGATGAACACCATGCTACTGGACAACTTTGATTCTTCAGACGTTTTTTTTGGACAAAATATGTAATTACAAGTGAAAATATGCATTTACCTTGCAGCTGATCTAACTTTTTGCAAGTCATGGTCACTTAATTGTTTTGTTCCAGATCCCATATCTATTGGTGCATTACACTCTTCTGCTAACTGGTACCTGAGAGTTGTATCATACTGTGTGCTCCTAACATGACATGACATACATAGTAACAGTATGTCATGGGAGGCATGGTCCTTCAGTGATGGAGGAAAATATCTGAAATATACAATTGAGATCAATATCAATCATGTTATTTGCAAAACAAAATCGAAATTCCGTGATAAACAAGATGTGTCAGAAAAACACAAATGGCCCAGCTTTCAAAAAAAGCACGAAGCCATTTTTAGAAGTTGAAATTTGAGAATGAAAGTCTACATAACTGTTATTTTCAGGAAATTTTCAAAGTCAAAAGCGCGCAATTCTAGCTAAAATTAGCCAAGCAGAAACAAACATAAACTTGATCTGTAACTCATTATAGAAGACTCACATACTAAAAATCAGCTCAGTATCTGAAGGCGTTCAGAAAAAAAGTCCATACAAATGTTATTTTCACAAAATTTTTATAGTCCAAAGCCAGTAATTTCGGCAAAAATCAGCAGAGCGGAACCAAACATAAACTCAATCTGTAACTCATCGTAGTAAACTCACATACTATAAATCAGCTCAACATGTGAAGGCATTTAGAAAAAAAAAGTCCTTATAACTGTTTATTGCGGAAGACTAATGACATAATGACGGAATTATTGATGGAATGACTGAATGACGGATAGGGTTAAACTATATGGCCCCTACCACTTTGCAGGTAAGACCTAAAGTTAAAGCACTCATGATTCTGTTCAATTTCAAAGTAGCCAAAATGTCTTTGGAGGTTCATCCAAACATTCTGACAAGATAAAGAAACAGATTTAATTTATCAATATTTGTTATCAATTTTTGAAATTTATGTGTAAAGTACTCCCGTTTGCAAGTTTTTTAGATCAGTTTTCTTATCTATGTGGTTCTGATAACATGTTCTTCCTGATAATTCTATGTAAAGACAAGCTGCTAAAATTTACCTTTTGGAAAAAAAAAGAGATGGAGGATATACCAAGGCAGGGTTTTCCATTCATTTTGGCCTAACAAAATTTTTGAAATCTAGACTCAAAATCATGGCATGGTGAATTCAAGATTTCATGCTTGTCAAATGGACATATTATTAGCAGTACTTTTTTCTAAAAATTATGTCTGCACTTATTAAGTTTAAAGTTTTCAGCCTTGGTGGGTCTATTTGAACCATCATGCAAATCAATTATCATGCCATTGATTCATTCCCGAATTAAACTAAACACAACAGAGCAAATTGAAAAACAATCAAACTCATGAATGCAAACGTTATCAATATATTATAGTAAAAATGCACCCCTTTGTGTCGCTTAGCAGGGAAAAAATCTGTAATTTTGGACCCTTTGGACTTCAGTGTGGACCAATTTTATAACGCCGCCCAAAATCCAAAATCGAAATACATGGTTAGATTCAACATATCAAAGAAACCCATATATTCAATTTTTGTTGAAATCAAACAAAGTTTAATTTTGGACCCTGATTTGGACCAACTTGAAAACTGGGCCCAAAATCCAAATACATCCTTAGAATCAGCATGTCAAAGAACCTCAAGAATTTAATTTTTAATCTTTTTCACACAAATATGATGTAATTCAGGGCTTTTTATGCCGGACAACAACATATTTGTCATGGAGGTAAGACAGGTGTTTAGCAACGTTTGGGTCATTGAAGGTAGATGAAGCATGAGTGTTCATACGACCATTCAGTCTTTTTCATTCTAATTTGTATAAACGACCTCACAGTCTTAACTGACCTCACAGCCTTAACGGACCTCACAGCCTTAACCAATTCGGAAAGAGTTTGCATAATCCTTGACAGCATCCATTAGTATTTTGAAGTTGTGTTTCCAATTTATGGATATAGGCTCACAGTATTTTGATCCTTTGGTTAACACATTTCAAAAAGAAGTGTTGTTGACAATGTTCAGGTCACAACTAGCACAGGTGTAATGAGGAGGTTTAGACTTGAAGTTGTCAATATTGAGATCTTGCAACACATTTTTATAATTGAAAATTGAAAATTTTAGTTCAATAGGTGTGATATGATAGGAACAGCAGCTTGATACCACGGCAGAGATCAAACCCTGAACAGTTGGGGCAAGTATGCATAAAACAATCAAGCTTGATACAGCTCTGAATTTAGATTGTGATTAAATATTTGACACATCATAGGTTTCTGACACGGAATGAATGAGGTCTAATAACTTGAAAATTTGAAATTGGACATTCACCTATTATGGTCCAATATCCAAAATCTAAATACATGGTTACATTCAGCATATAAAAGAACCTCAAGAATTCATTAAGAAATAAGCAATTCATACAAAGTATTAGAAAAGTATTGTTTTATGCCCCTTTTTGGCCCCTAATTCCTAAACAGTTAGGGCCGTAACCGCCACAATCAATCCCAACCTTCCATTTTTGGTATGGAACCTTGTGGTACAATTTCATAGAGATCCATACACTTAAACTCAAGTTATTGTCTGGAAACTAGAAAATCCTTGTTTTGTACCCCCTTTTTGGCCCCTTATTCCTAATCAGTTTGGGCATAACCCCCAAAAAATCAATTCCAACCTTCCTTTTGAGGTATGGTACCTTGTGGTACAATTTCATATAGATCCATACACTTATACACAAGTTATTGTCTGGAAACTAGAAAATCCTTGTTTTGTACACTCTTTTGGCCCCTTATTCCTGATCGGTTAGGGCCATAACCCCCAAATCAATCCCAACCTTCCTTATGTAGTATGGAACCTTGTGGTACAATACCATACTATCATACTATCATACTGCAGCAATTTTTTGCGGTCATATAAAATGCACCAAGTCCTAAGAAATTTGTAACATATGTTTATAAACTGGGTTTCTTCTGGTATGGGAATTTCATATGTCATAAGTCACAAGTACCAGTGCTTCATTTCATCGGAGGAATATCATGTAATAATTTATTTGTTTGCAATAATTCAACATCAATATTTTTGCCTCATAAGATGAGATTGTTTAAAAATCATTTTTAATAGTGTCTTTTTGGTATTTTTTCTCCATCATGATGACCCTTGAAGTAATATTTCAGGGGTAAAAAGTATCTTTTACATGTAATAGTTGAAAAATGGAGTACAATGAAATAATTTACCTTCTGTATTCTTTAGGAACTACTTGTTTCCGAACATAGGAATCTTTTGAACCACAAACTACACAAATGTTTTCTTTCTCTTGTAAATAATAATCATCTTTAGATGTCGGACGACCAGCTGGTTCAAATCTTAATTGTACTGTGAATGGGTCATCATTTACCTTGTCTGAAACATACAAATGTTATTTTTTGTTAAAAAGTGGATGAAAGCAAAAAGCTTACCAAAGTTAATTGGGTATGTTAAGTAGGTTACAATGAAATACTTTGATATCCCATTGTGAAATAGTGCTGCAAATTCACTCCTCTAATGCGAAACAGCAAGAGGTGTTTTCAAGACTTTGTCAATGAAAATGCATTGAAACAATGTGAGAATGCACAGAAAAAAGATACAGTTCTTTAAATTTTATACTTCATTTATATCAAAAGGCAATGTTATAAATATGATGAGGGGGTGGGGCCTTATTGAAAATAAATTGATCTAATTCAACTTATCCAAAAATTCAAATACATGAACTAATTTCAACATTAACCATCTGTAAAACTGATGTGTCTGATAGATTCAATAATACATTTTTGGTTGGAATTAATCAGATTTGCAGACAAGTTTACACATTTGATTATGATAAACTTATTTGAAATGAGACAAATATCCACCAAAGTTCAAATAATGTCACAGAGTGTGTCTCGCCTTTTTGTAATTTTGATAATGCAAATGTTGAAATTAAAATAGCAAAACTTTAACATGTAAGTTATGTAAATATTCAAAGTCAATGAAGCATGACTGAAGGTACATGGTTAAACAATCACCATAGAAATGAGATGTGCCAATGCTAATGCAACTGCATACCAAATACCATTGACTTATCATAAGTCATTCCTTTTAAACAAACCTAAACACAAACATTAACTTGTAAACTATGTAAAAGATTCAAAGTCAATGAACAATGATGAGGGGGTGGGGCCATATAATCTCCATGGAAATAAGACTTGCAAATGCCAATACATTTGCATACCAAAAATATCATTGACTAGCATTAGTGGTTCATCTTAAACTGATCTAATACAAACTTTAACATGTAAACTAAGCAAAAGTTTCAAAGTCAATAGACCATGACTGAAGGGGTGGGGCCAAATATTCTCCATGGAAATAAGATGTGCTAATGCTTATACAACTACATACCAATTAACATTGGCCTACCACTAATGGTTCCCCTTGAACTGACCTTATCACAAACTAATACATGTAAACTAAGCAAAAGTTTCAAAATCAATAGACCATGATTGAGGAGGCGGAGCCAAATAATCTCCATGGAAATGAGATATGCCAATGTTAATACAACTGCATACCAAATATCATTGACCTACCACTAGTAGTTCACCATAAACTAGACCTAATCACAAACTAATACATTGTTGACGCCGCCGCCGCCTGAAACAGCATACCTATGTCTCGCTTTTTGACTCCGTCAAGGCGAGACAAAAATGATTTGCAAGGTTCAGCTTGATACGACCGCAGAGGTCGAACCCTGAACAGTTGGTGCAAGTATGGACACTACATTCAAGCTTGATACAGCTCTGAATTTGGATTGTGATTAAATCTTTGACACAGCATATAGGTTTCTGACACCGAACAAATGTGTTCAAAGAACTGAAAAATTTGAAATCAGAAATTTACCAATTATGGTCCAATATCAAAACTCTAAATACACGGTTAGATTCAGCATATCCAAGTACACAAGTTTTAAAATAGGGTCACATCATCCAAAAAAAAATATATATATATACTTTTTCAATCATTTGGTCTTTTGGAAAATGTTGTTTGTGCTGTATTTAGACCCTTCTACCAAGAAATTTGATTTGCATGCACACGTATAAAAATTGCGGTTTTTATCCAACGCAATCATAGGTTTGAACTTTGTTTTCAATTTAGACTTGTATATATATATATATTTATATATATACCATTCTCAAATTTATACAGAATAACAAATAAACCTACCACCAAGTCCTTCAAAAAATTTCCAAAAAATGAAAAAAAAAAATTTCCAAAATATCATTCATCATGAAGACAATGTCTTTAAAAAATCTACAAAACTTACCTTTAATTATTTTTCAAAATATCTAATAATAATCAGTAAATTTCAAACTATATTTATACATAATTTCTATATTTAACTATGAATCGACTAACAATTTCTATTAAATGTGCATTCCAGCTATGAATTTGGATTGTGATTAAATATTTGACATAGCACTGGTTTCTGACACAGAATGAATGTTGTCTAAGAACTTGATACAAATTATAAGAAACATTTTTTTTTGGCCCTTAATTCCTAAACAGTTAGGACAATCCCAACCTTCCTTTTGTGGTATGGAACCTAGTGGTACAATTTCATAGAGATCCATACACTTATACTCAAGTTATTGTTTGGATACCAATACAGTTTATCAATCCCTTGTAATATTTACATAATAGAACAATACTAGTGTAATTTCATCAGAATCTGACAGAAAGTCTCTTTGATCAGATTGGATCTGGTCATAAATATCAAGATACCTGCTAAACCCTTTTCTATATACCACTCTGCTTTTTTGACATCACAGGTACACAAGCTTTCCCCATCAGGTGCTAACAGGTAACAGTTGTAGTATAATGGTCTTTGTCTTAATACATAAGCTCTAGTTTCTTTATCTTTTGCAGATATCTGGAAGGAAATATTTATTTTGTCTCTGTGTAATACTGTTGCTTTGCAGTTCTTGTATTTCAATTTTAACACATAACCATGTTAAGCTGCTTTAATGTTCATGCTTTTTTTTTATGTTAAGCTGTTTTAATGTTTAATTTATAGTTCTTTTTTTTGCGTTTGGTAATGATCTATTGAGTTGAGCCATTTGCAACTGATTGTTATAGATCTTATGTTGTGCTGTTACTTCACTGTCTCAGGTTAGGGGAGGATTGAGCGCTCACAAACATGTGAAACCCCCCTCCATTTTTTATGTGGCAGGGCTAAACATGTTTGTGAGTCAGGAGCCACTAAATCAGTTGTTGTCGTTGATTCATATCTCTTATCTCAAATTTTTTTTTGTATATTATTTTGTTACAAATTAGACTGCTTTCTTGTTTGAATTGTTTTACATTTTCATGACAGGCCTTTTGTTGCTGACTATACAGTATGGGTTTTTCTCATTGTTGAAGGCTGCACAGAGACTAATAATTGCTTATATCCACGTCATTTGAACTCAGATTCAAATAACCAATTACAATTACTTTGTTAAGAATACTGTGAAAGTACTTTTAATTGTGGGTATCAATTTTGTAGGTTTCAGCAAAAGTTACATGCACTTGGGTTCTTAAATTCATGGATTTTAGTTTTAGAGTGAAGAATTTGAAGCCATCAGAAACGAAAATTATTGAAAATAATCATATGCTGTTTTATAATGATTTGTGATACATTGCAAAAATAAGGTGTTCATTTTCACTTACTTGTTCGTTTTTCACTACTGACAACATTCATCAAATTTATAATAAATAATTGCTTTTGGAAATAAGCTGATTCATCTATGCTTACAAATTGTATATATTGAAGGAAATTGCATTTTAATTTTTGCACACTTGTAATAAGAAGTGAAGACACTAATTAACCTGAGATCAAATGATTAACTGATTAATGATCTTCAAAGTGTACATGTTACTTAAAGAAATGGGTTACATAAAAAAATGCTGCAAATGTACTTTGAATTGTAGAATTTATTCTTGTGAAATAAAAAAGCAACCCCAATATGATTTTTTGAAAATTATGAGGAGATAAAATGAACACTTAATTATTGCATATCATCACTGGAAGTCTGACTTTCATCAACCAAAACAATTTTTCATGAGAATTAAAAGGTTAAAAGTCGTACAGTTTAATTTTTTTTTCTGATCTCATCAATTAGAAATAGAGGCTACCAGGAGATCTGTGAATTTTAGGGTTAATAAAATGCTCTGCAGGGCGCAGCTTGATACAACCGCAGAGGTCAAACCCTGAACAGTTGGGGCAAGTATGGACACAACATTCAAGCTTGATACAGCTCTGAATTTGGATTGTGATTAAATATTTGACACAGCATAGGTTTCTGACACAGAATGAATGTGGTCTAAGAACTTAAAAATTTTAAATTGGACATTCACCTATTATGGTCCAATATCCAAAATCTAAATACATGGTTAGATTCAGCATATCAAAGAACCCCAAGAATTCAATTTTTGATGAAATCAAACAAAGTTTAATTTTGGACCCTTTTGACCTCAATGTGGACAAAGTTGATAACAGGGCCCAAAAATCAAAAATCTAAATACATGGTTAGATTCAGCATATCAAAGAACCCCATATATTCAATTTTTGTTGAAATCAAACAAAGTTTAATTTTGGACCCCGTTTTGGACCAACTTGAAAACTGGGCCCATAATCAAAAATCTAAATACATGTTTAGATTCAGCATATCAAAGAACCCTAAAAATTCAATTTTTGTTAAAATCAAACTAAGTTTAATTTTGGACCCTTTGGACCTTAATGTAGACCAATTTGAAATGGAACCAAAAATTAAGAATCTAAATACACGGTTAGATTCGGCATATCAAAGAACCCCAATAATTCAATTTTTGATGAAATCAAACAAAGTTAAATTTTGGACCGTTTGGACCTCAATGTGGACCAATTTAAAAACAGGGCCCAAAATCCAAAAACTTAATACACGGTTAGATTCAGCATATTAAAGAACCCCAAGAATTCAAGAATAAAACCCCATTGAAATTGATCAAGAAATAAGCAATTTATACGAAGTATCTTCTTTTGCACAATACTGTGCAATTAAATATTTCTTGCTATTGCGCAATACTGTACAATTGACAATTTCTTGCTATTGCACAATATTGTGCTATTGCGCAATACTGTGCTATTGCGCAATACTGTGCAATTGAAGATTTCTTGCTATTGCGCAATACTGTGCAATTGAAGATTTCTTGCTATTGTGCAATACTGTGCAATTGAAAATTTCTTGCTATTGCACAATACTTATTATATAATAATTTACACATCCTGTTTGGTGTGTATCTCCTACCATATCATTATTATTTGCTTTTAAATATAAATCAGAAATAACCAACTTAAAATGGAAAATTTTAAAAGAAAAAAAAAAAAGGAAAAAAAGAAAAAAAAAGAAAAAAAAAAAAATCCCCCCCCTCCCCAAATTTTTTGAACCCCCTTATGATTCATCACCCCCAAACTCAATCCCAGCCTTCCCTTTGTGGTATGGTACCTTGCAGTACAATTTCAGAGAGATCCATACACTTGAACACAAGTTATTGTCTGGAAACTAGAAAAATGCTTATTTTTGGCCCCTTTTTGGCCCCCAATTCCTAAACGTTTCGGGCAATTACTCCCAAACTCAATTCCAGCTTTCCCTTTGTGATATGGAACCTTGTAGTACAATTTAAGAAATATCCAAACACTTACACACAAGTTATTGTCATGAAACTAGAATAATGCTTGTTTTTTGCCCCTTTTTTGGCCCCTAATTCTTAAAATTTTGAGCCAATTACCCCCAAAATCAATTACAGCCTTCCCTTTGTGATATGGAACCTTGTGATACAATGTCAGAGAGATCCATACACTTACACACAAGTTATTGTCTGGAAGTTACAAAAATGCTTATTTTTGGCCCCTTTTTGGCCCCTAATTCCTTAACTGTTGGTACCATAACCCCCAAAATGAATCCCAACCTTCCTTTCGTGGTATTGAACCTTATGGTAAAATTTCATGGAGATCCATTCACTTAAACTAAAGTTAGAGTGAGAAAACCAATGTGTCTTGGACGACGCCGGACGAGTAAGACGACACCAACGTCATACCAATATACGACCAAAAAATTTTTAATTTTTGCGGTCGTATAATAACAAATCAAAGCGCGAAAGCGCTGTAAAGGCAGTTAATTACAGGTTGTGTATTTTTAGTCCAGTTATATCATTATCTTGCATAGTACAGTGTACTTACACTGTATCAGAGGTGGCTTTCAGTATTTAAGATTTAGAGTTCTCTAATGATATTGAACAAGTTTTATGAATGTCATATTCTGAGCACTATATGAAGGCGTTTGTTCTCACTTGTTTATGAACTTGTGCATTATGTCCAGTTTGTACCTTTTTTATCTATGTTTATAGTCTAATTAGTTATCAAAGGTACCAGGATTATAATTTAATACGCCAGACTCGCGTTTCATCTACATAAGTATCATCAGTGACGCTCAGATCAAAATAGTTATAAAGCCAAACAAGTACAAAGTTGAAGAGCATTGAGGACCCAAAATTCCAAAAAATTGGGCCAAATACGGCTAAGGTAATCTATTCCTTGGATAAGAAAATCCTTAGTTTTTCGAAAAATTCAAAGTTTTGTAACAGGAAGTTTATAAAAATGACCATATAATTGATATTCAAATACTGTTTAAAATAGTTAGGCATTTTCTTTTTAGTAATAAGTAAATGTTATCAACTGTATTTTATTCAACTCTGCAAATGTGGTTTGTTACTGGTAAGTATGGATGATAGTTGTTTCATTGGCAATCATAACACATCTCCTTATTTATATAATGATCTATATTCAACGACCTCAGGTACAGAAAAAATGTATGTAACTAAACTGTGATGGGAAACCTTTGACTTCTTTCTTTTATATAAACTTTTGATTTGGTACCATAGAACTATGTAGAATAAATGTACATTGCAACATGTCAACTCTTTCAATGACAATACTTTTTCAGAAACTATAACTCAAAGCAAAATTATATTTCCAATTTTAAAGTAATTTATGAATGAATAAAATGCTCCGCAGGGCGCAGCTTGATACGACCGCAGAGGTCGAACCCTGAACAGTTGGGGCAAGTATGGACACAACATTCAAGCTTGATACAGCTCTGAATTTGGATTGTGATTAAATATTTGACACAGCATAGGTTTCTGACACAGAATGAATGTGGTCTAAGAACTTAAAAATTTTAAATTGGACATTCACCTATTATGGTCCAATATCCAAAATCTAAATACATGGTTAGATTCAGCATATCAAAGAACCCCAAGAATTCAATTTTTGATGAAATCAAACAAAGTTTTATTTTAGACCCTTTTGACCTCAATGTGGACAAAGTTGATAACGGGGCCCAAAAATCAAAAATCTAAATAGATAGTTAGATTCAGCATATCAAAGAACCCCATATATTCAATTTTTGTTGAAATCAAACAAAGTTTAATTTTGGACCCCGATTTGGACCAACTTGAAAACTGGGCCCATAATCAAAAATCTAAATACATGTTTAGATTCAGCATATCAAAGAACCCTAAAAATTCAATTTTTGTTAAAATCAAACTAAGTTTAATTTTGGACCCTTTGGACCTTAATGTAGACCAATTTGAAAACAGAACCAAAAATTAAGAATCTAAATACACGATTAGATTCGGCATATCAAAGAACCCCAATAATTCAATTTTTGATGAAATCAAACAAAGTTAAATTTTGGACCCTTTGGACCTCAATGTGGACCAATTTAAAAACGGGGCCCAAAATCCAAAAACTTAATACACGGTAAGATTCAGCATATTAAAGAACCCCAAGAATTCAAGAATAAAACCCCATTGAAATTGATCAAGAAATAAGCAATTTATACGAAGTATCTT